CATTTTGTCTTTATCTTTACACACTTTCTCATTTTCTTTTTTCTTTATAACTTTCCATTTTCTGATTTTTGTTTGTCCTCTTTTCTCAGGTTTCTTTCCTTTTCTTTCTCTCAACTTTTTTTCTCCTTTTCTCAGTTTTCTTTATTTTGTATTTTCCTTGTTCTTTTTCTCTTTTTTTTTGTCTTTAAAAGTTTGTTTAGTTAGTATAGTTAGCATGTTAGTGCATTTAGTATATTTAGCATTGTTTACTATTACTTTTTAGCATCGTTAGTAAGCATAGTTAGCATTGTTAGTTCTAGCTAACATTCTTGGCATTGTTAATACTGCGTGTCAGCATAGTTAGCATTGATGGTTAGTGTTATCTGTTGGTGTAGTTAGCAGGTCACCATGTCACATGACCTTGCTGCCATGTCTACTGACGAGGAGCCGATATTGGCCACTACAAGCTCCTGAACACCATTGGCCGGGAAGCTTTGCCAAGGTGAGGTTGGCCCGGCAGATTCTGACTGGGATAGAGTTGGTTGTGAAAGTCATACACCAGGAGAGCTCGTGCAGACATTTAGAAGTTCACTGCAGGAGGGTTTGAACCATCCAAGTATTATGAAGTTATTTGAGGTGATTGAAACCAAGAAAAAAAATGTTCCTCATTATGGAGCATGTTCATGGAATGGACTTGCACGGTTTTCTGAAACAGCACGGCTGCCTGACTGAGAACGAGGCCCGAGTCAATTTCTGGCAGCTGGTATCTGCTGTACAATACTGTCACCAGAGGGGCATTGTCCACAGGGACCTGAAGCCAGGGAACGTGCTTCTGAATTCAGAAGTGAACAGAAAACTTATAGGCTTTGGTCTTAATGAAGAACTCATCGGCCAGAAGCTGAGCATGGTCTGTGGCAACCTCTCTTCTGCCGCCTCAGAGCACTTCCTGGGCCCAAACTATGAGAGCCCCGGTATAGACGTGTGGAACCTGGGAGTGCTGCTCTATAGGATGGTCACTGGGGCCCTGCCTTCGTAGGGAGAGGCTTCTTTAAGCTCCAGCAATGGGTACTGAGAGAGCGCTTCCATGTGCCCTCTTACATGTCTTATGAGTGCCTAATGATCTTAAAGAGTTTAATGACCATCAACCCCGGGGACAGAGCAATGCTAAAAAATGTAATGAAGGACCGATGGCTAAACTTGGGCCAGGAGGAGGAACTCAGGCCTTACACTGAGAGTCCCTGTGACAACACGGACCCCTGGGTGAACAAGAGGATGATGACAATGTGGTTTGAGTGGGACCATATTCAGGATTCAATGACACGCAGGGGTTATGACAGACCGATGGCCGCATTCCTGATTACCAAAAACTCAAGGTAAAGGGCCGCACCATCAAAGTTTGGCCCTTCTGTTGCTCGGACTTAAATAGCCCCAGGCCTTCCCCAATCCTCAAGGTTAAGCCTTCAGGCCAGAATGCCAAAGAGCTTGCCACTTCTCCAGTCAGCCTGCAGTTGAGTAATGCCACTCCCACACCTAACCCAGAATCGAGCACCAGCATTTCCTAACCCAGCCCAGAATCGAGGACGAGCACTCTTCAACCCATCCCAGAGTTGAGGACCAGCACTCCCCAACCGAGCCCGGACTCAAGGACTGCCACCCCCAGCCCAGCCCCCCAGCGTGGCCCTTGTGGGTCCCCCTCTACCTACAGCACCAAAAGCAGGAGCAGTGGTAGTGGACCCCCAGAGGAGACAAACATGTAAACTCCCTCCATGCTGGACTTCCTGATCGTGTGACCCCAGCCTCTTTCTTGGGCCACAGCCAGGGCTGTCAGGGCATGGCTAGGAGGTTCTCAACCCTTATTGTAAGCCACCTCTGCTGTTAGCCATCCACCAAGAAGCAACATCACAAATGGAACCACGTAAAGCCAATGTAATGTTTAAATTATGGATGGCCAAGGCAGGGCCACAATTAAATACTCTAGGAAGGTCAAGCCTCTCTCCCTGCATATTAAATATTGAACTCGAAAATGCTTAGCTCCAGGGAGGCCGGCCACATGGTGCGGGAGATCAGCCAGAGTTTGGACAGGAACAGCTGCAGCTGGGAGTAGTGCAAGAAGTTCATGCTGTGTGTGAAGGACTGTGTCCTGAGGACGATGGAGGTGTGCAAACTGCCTCAGCGTTCTCTGCACAGGACTCAAATCAAAATGTTATCCGGCATGTCTGTGGACTTCAAAAACATTTTATTACAAAAAATTGCTCTCACTACAAACAACGCATTCTCTGAGAAGCAATCATGTGTGCACACTGACCACACCAAGGCACTTTCATGCCAAATAATTTATTAATTGAAGTAGTTAATGCAATTTAAGTCTGATATCTCCTATTGTGAAAATAACTGCATTCTTTCCTGTTGACTATTGTGTTGAAATACTGTGTTTAGAGTGATTGGAGCAAGAAAAGGCAGTAGCAGCCTTGTTTTGGATGCTTCTTACATCACTCCCCATTGCTTCCCCATCCCCCAAGAGTCCCCTGGAGAGAACTAGGCCAGTAAGAGCTAGCCCCACAGAATCTGTGATAACAACAAGATATGTCGGGGCACCCCCTATGCACAAGGAAAAAAAGAGAGAAAGTGTGTAGTCTGGCAGAGTTCAGATCAGGAGACACAATGACAACATTGACCCCTGGACACTCTGGGAGGGGGCTGTGCCCATTCTTACTTGTGAGTAAGGACAGGGGTTGGGGGCATGGGCTGAAGGGTCTGGGAGTGCTGGGCCTGAGGACACTTAGGATTAACTGACTAATGCTACCTCCCAGGACCAGGCTACCTGGAGGAGATGCTTCTGGGAATAGAGATGGAGCAGAACAACTGCTATTGGGAAGAGGGGCTCATATAAAGGGGGCGGGAGAACAAAGCAGTGGCTCAGAAAGGAAGGGCTCATTTGTGACACTTCAGAACCAGAGGAGGGGGCTCCAGTGGCCTGGAGCTAGAGGAGCTGTCCCCCTACTCCAAGAAAAATTAGAAAAACTAATGTCAAACACAAAGGAGTCACAGAAAATAATTGCACTTTAATCCAATATCAAATTCTTATCAGTAAAAAAGAATAAGGAGCAGGATCAGATCCTTAGAGATGATAAAAGTTTGTAAGAAAGATATGCTAACAAATGGGTGAAAACTATAATCAATATTTCAAAATGAATTATAATAAATTAAGAAAATAATGTAAGACAGTAAAGAACAATAGAAATCAGAATTTGAAAACTAGTGAAAAAGGAAACTAATTATTCAGAAAGGATGACTAAATTAGAAGGACAATAAGACAGCTTAGGCAGGGAATGGAGTCACCTTACAGACAGGTAGTTGACCAGGGCCATGGGAAAGAGGAGGGTTATTGTCACTCAGTGGGTATGGTAGGAATTGTTGGTGCTCAGGGGTCCCTGGATACTTGGTGGTACTCCAGGCCAGACTAACTGATACAGAGGTAAATGTTTCACCTGAGGAGGACTGGTACCCAGGACACCAGAGTCCTAGGGTTGAGAGTCTGGCTCTGTCAGATGAGCAGCATGCTTGGTGAGAGTGAGGGGGTGTTATAGATGGATGATGAGTGTCATACATGGCCTTCAAACCAGCTGCAGCAGCTGTGGGGAGCTCCTTTATCTTACTCTTTTCTTGTAAGGGAAATATGATCTTACACTCTTACTATAAGGAGCCAACGGGTCTGAGTAGCCCAAGTGCAGACTTGGTACATACTGGATCTCCCAGACCCCCTCTGCGTGCACACATGCCCATCTGTGCTCAAGGGTCATATTGTGCCTTCAGAGGCCATAAGCTCCAGCCAGCCTCAGGGAATGCCTCCTCAAAGATGAAGCCTCACTCAGGGGATGGCTGTGGCAATGACTTGCTGATGCCTTTGCTCAGTAAATGGAGGGCTACCCTAGCTCCCACACTCCCTGCAGGGCTGGGTAAAACTCAGTTGCAGCTGCATGGCTGGCAAATCTTGTCCCTCTGCCTAATCCTGCCTTCCTTGCTGATCAGTGTAACTCCCAGAACCATCCCCCAGATGTCCTTAGGTGACGGTCCATCTTAGAGGCTATCTCCAGAGAACCCAGTCTAAACTGACAATCCACTTTCATAAGGGTCATTTAACTGGGTCAACGCAAGAGCTAATTTGAGGCCTAGAATGTGGCTATTGACAGCCTATCATCCCTTCATGCTGTCAGATAACAGAAGTTTGACGAGGGGAGGTGACCTGCTGGCCTGGGCTCCCAGCCCGACGGTGGCCAAGCCAGGACTAGAAACCAGGCCTCCTCATTCTCTATTCCAGCTTCACTCGAGCATGTGCCACCCTGGAAGGTGTTCTCTTCTACATTTTCTATGTTAATCTTCTATATTTTCCCTCCTTACACACTGAGAGGCTTTTTCCTTGAAGCTTAGAAATTGCTTTCTTCAGGAATGTTAAAATTCTGGTATAGTTGACTTTTACACTTTTTTCTCAGGAGCATTTCCCTACTTTCCTCATTACTAAATGCGTTATAATTTGTTCTCAGGAAATTACCTGTTGATATTTTTAAAAGAAAGAATTCAGAACCAGAAATATGTATAATGATTCTTCCTGTTGTCGGGAAATCAGAATGTGGGCCAAAGAGTTCTTTAAATGGTGACATGTTATTGTTACAGTGAACAAAGAAGTTTATTGCAGTGGGCTGGAAGTACGCTGACTTTCACAGTTGAACAAATACACACTGATTCTCTAGAAGATACTGAACATAATTTGAACTCTGCTAATTTTTTAAAGCTTCATATTCACTGTACTAGTCTCCTCTTTGGAATTACATTTGTTAGCAGTTGTTTCCTGTTTATATTATTCACGTACAGCACTTGTATGATAAAAAATAAATAAAACTAACAAGAAGTGGATTCTTAGTTGACTTTTTCAAACTCTTTGTATACAACATTGAAAACAATCACTTTTCCTATTTCATGCAGAAAGGCAGAAAGAAGAACATTCTTAAAATGACTTTGCAAGATGCACTTTATTTTAAGTCAGTCCTGAACCCAAGCTACATAAGATCATTTTTTTGACATATTCTAGTCCATTCAATGATTCTTCTCAGAAACTGTACTTTAATATGGAATGACAACTACATTTCAGTCATAAATTTCCATGCTACATTGTTATTTAGTGAAGAGGTTGTATTACCAATAATAATTTAAGAAAAGGCCATTTTTTATTTCCCCAAGCTCAATATACATATTTCTTTCATAATTATGAACTTAAAAAACCCGTCTCAGATGTAAAAATGTGAATTATTATATGTAAACTCTTTGATATACCTGAAAAACAGGAAGGAAAATGTCACATACTGGAAAAACCATTGCCTTAAATCATCGAAAAGGGAAAAAGCATGTGAGGAATGAGGAAGACAGAAGAGTGCTCATGACCTCAGTTAATAAAGAGTTACAAAGTCCAAGTATTCTACATCTGCTGGGTGGCACATTTTATCTTTCTACCTCATGTCTGTGTTTTACCAGGAGCAGTAACTCTGAAGCTAAACAGCCACCACCATTGAAGTGAGTCACTAGCTGGGCCTCAACAAAGCCAGTGTCCACATATTTGTTTTGCTGCTTTTTTTTTCCTGAGAAGTCACTGGTGTTTAATTATTAGTCTTCAGTTAAGATAAGGCAGTAAGAGTGTCACTAATGTTATCTTTTTGCTTAGAATGTGGCTTATCCATCCACTGGCATCTTCGTGGGTCATTGGCTCTCTTTCTCTTCCTCCTAGAAATATGTTTAGGAATTTTCAGCCTCCTATTGCTGTTGCATATTTGGGGTGTGCTGAAGCCCACCTATTCTCCTCGCAGCAGCTTCCCCATTGGCGACAGAATGCTGTGTATGCAGTATAGCATCTCTTCAGGAAGGGCACAGTCCCCACACAGGAAAACATGGTGTCTTTTCTTCTTAATTATTCTTCTCTTCTTTTTCTCTGAGGGGGGAGACCCATAAATGATTCCTTCACATAGTCCATTAGAATGCAAAATACTGTTGATTAAAATATAATCCAAGCAGCCCTGATTTCAGAGAAATTGAATTACAAATTCAACAGCGCCTTAACTTGCAAAGTAGCTTTGACTGCAAAAGGAAGTCAACTCCCTTTGGCCACCTGTCAGAAGAGAAATCATTTCCATTGAACTAGAAATGCTTTAGCTCTTATGAGAATATTGTGCTTTTTTTTTTTGAAAATTCAAATGTTAACTTGATTTGCAGACTGTGTCTTACAGTATCAATTTGTTTTTTCTCTAGTCCATTTGATCATGGTTTCTGGTGAACGGTACAGGAATATTAATTTGGCATAGAGATCTTCCTCTAGTTCTAGTTCTCCTGTCTCTCGAACTAAAAAAATATCTGTGCACAACTTCAAAATTCGATCCACATTTGGAAGCTCTTCAAACATGATGGAGTGAGAAATTCCACTGAAGAATTCACGGACAAACTTCCCAATCACGAGGACAACTGAAGCATATAATCCCATGATACTGAAAAAAAAAAAGTTAAGTAGAAACTGCATCTAGCAGTTAAATATGGCTAATAGAACATGTCTAAAAGAAGAAAAATAATAAATTATTTATTCTAAATCCATAGAAAATATGATAAACTTAAATTTGTTTCCCTTTGGTGAAAACATTTACTTTTATTTTCTGATTAAAAAAGTAATTCATGTTCTTTCCTTAAAAAATGAAGCATTATAGAACTGTAAGACCTGAAAAATAAAAGTCCTTTGAAATCTCACATTTTGGAAATTACCAATGTTAAGAGTTTCATGTATGAATTTCAGGTGGTTTTACCGCATATATTGCATGCATAAACCACATAATATATTTGATAGAAATTCAATTGTACTATATGCACTTTGCACTTTAACAACATTGTCTTTATTAGAGATTTATATTCATAATAAAACTTTTGATAGACAATGATTTCTTAAGAGGCTCATTCTGGAAAATGAGAGCCCTCTACTTGTGTTTGTAGGGGAGGTGTGTGTCCTTGGGTTTAAGCATAATAACATGACTAAAGGGTAACATCAGGCTTGTCCAAAACTGTGATTTCTATTTGATCCTATATCTGCTAAGGTCCTAAGAAAATCTAAGCAGAAAAGAGATAACCCTATGCAATTTCTAAGTTTAAACAATGAATTGCATCAAACTATGCCATACTGGAAGGTGTAGCTAAAAAGCTGGGAATATAGCTTCTAGTCCTGTCATTAACAGCAAGGCATTTTGGCATTTTGATGTCTTTGGGACTTTGGTTCCTCATTTTTTTAAGATGAAGAGCTAGGGATCTGTGAATTTTAATATTTCAGCTATAAAATTTGAGAATTAAAAAAAAAGCCTTCCCATCTTCAACTTTACCTGATACAGAAGTAGACTCTTGTAACTGTTAATTATTAAATGAGTCCTTACCCATAGCCAGCCAGGAAGCCCAGACTGGGGGGACTAACTTTGTCATTGAAGACCACCAGCTCCAAGGCCTGGGCATGCTGATTGTATAGTCTATCTCCAATCAGGTTGAGAACCCACCACTCACTGTTAGATTTAGTTGTATTGTCTCTGGACAAAATGATGGTGATATTCATGAAATTATTTTCTGGAAGAGAAAAAAAAGAAATCAAGTTAGCATGAGAATTTTAGGATTTAATGCATACCAACAGTCCTTACATGGCAAAATCTGGTTACTATCCACAGCATACAATTCCAGGATGTCATATGGGCACGTTAACAATGCAGGTAGAAAAAGAGGAGAGGGCCCTAGTTGTGTATGAGGTTTTTCTTTTTCACTATAGGAGTCAGTCACTGTTGCTACATGTGCCTGGCAGCCAAATCACAGGCAGGGAGTGGAAGACCCATCACTTGAGCATCTTTGCTGATAATTTCAAACAATTAGAGATTTGTAAACCACAATCACTGACTTTTGATTGAATTGCCTGATTCATTCATATTACCAGCATTTATCAAGTATTTTCCAAGAGGAAGGCAGTCTGTTAGGTACTAAGGAGTTAAAAGTTGCACACAGCATGGCTCTTTATCTCAATGGGAAAAGGCCATGTATACCAACACAATTTATGGGCATATGACAACCACCATAGGATGCATTGACAAGGTCTGTTAGCTTGGAGAGACCACTTCTGGTTGGTACGATCCATGAGGGCTTCCCAGAGGAGATGACTTCTGAGCCAAGTTTTGCTGAGTGAGAACTTCAATAGGTGGAGATGGAAGAAGGATTAATGGTATGAGCTCTGCAAAGTTCTGAAAACCCATAATGAATGGTCAGTGATTGCACAGGGTGAATGTAAAAGAATAGTAAAAGGGCAAACAAAAACTTAGAGTTACAGGGCCAGCTGAGTGGTGCATTGGTTAAGAGTTGGCTTGGTACGCCCTGGTTCGGATCCCACATGTGGGCCAGTGACACTGTGCCCTCTATAGCTAAGATGGTGAGCAACAGCTCGACCTGGAGCTAGGCTGCTGTGAGTCGCTGGCGATGGTAGAGGCTGCAGTGAAGTTGCAGTGGGATGCCATAAGCTACCATGAGCGGCCGGCAGCCAGCTGAGCTGCCAAGAACCGCGGTGAGGGCCATTCAGTGGCCGGCGACTTATCTGCCTCACCTGGGAAGAGCACAATGATAATACCAACATGGGCCAGTGAAGCGACATCCTCCACAACTAGATTGAAAAACAAAAAAGGACAGCACCTTGTCTGTTCCCCTTCCTGGATTCCCCAATGCTGTTCCCCTCCCCCAATTCCCCAATAAAATCTTAAAAAAAAAAAAAAGCTTAGAGTTACAAAGAATAGGCATTTTTAAGAAAAGGCCACCCCTGCCAATAATAATAGAGCCTCCACTGAGAATCATGGTGGCAGACTATAAACACTGTGAGGATAGGGGTTGTGTCTGCATTATTGCATGCTAAATTCCTAGATCATAGGAATCTAGGACAATATCTGGCAATCAACATCTGTTTGTTGGATAGATGGATGGATGAATGGATGAATGAATGGATGGATGGATGGATGGGTGGATGGAAGGATGGATGGATGGATGAAGAAGAGTGAGGAATGGTAGGAGACTGGTAAAGATCAAGTCCTTACCCAGGAAGAATGTGAATCACTCAGAACATTCAGGAACAGGAATAACAACAACCTTCATTCTAAAGTCTAGAGACAGTTCTGAGGGGGAAAATCTGGCCCTGGGCCAAGGTGGGCCCAGAGAAGCCCCAGTATGGATCTAGTTCATCTACACACTTCTAGTATAACCTCAGCTGAGTATTTCACACCTGAACCTCAGTTTCCTCCCCTGTAAACTGGTGATAACCACCAACCTATGGTAAATATACTTTGAGGTGAAGATTAGAGACAACTCAGTGAAGCTCATCAGATAAGCAGTTAGGTTATTATAGGCAGGATCTGAGAGCATGAAGGCCATGTGATCTGGAAAACATGACTTTACAGGCTGGACCTCAAATCACAAGCAGACAAGTCAGTGTGGGGAGAGGGAAAGAACCCATAAAAAGAGGAGGGGAATAAATGATGCTGCAGGAATGAAGGCAGGGAGGGGATGGGGCCTGGGGCACAGGGAAAGGCTGACCTTGGAAGGGAGAGAGAACACGTCTTTCTTTGAGGCTGAAGAGAAAGAAGAAGGGAACTAAGAAAATATAAGACGTTTTGCCAAACAGCAGAAGGAAGTTGAAAGAATGGTCCCTGTCAAGCTGGGACCTGCTCTGGAAGGCAGCACCAGGAAGAGCCTGCTGAGGGACAGAATCCTTTCAGGGGAACAACTGATTATTGAACAATCTGTACTCTCAGACTAAACATTTCTAGAATTAGTCTGGATTGAAAGGGAAATACCAAAGTTCTAAATGCATCTTGCAATTACCTTGCAAGACGTACTTCTGTACTGTTGAAGAAGAAAAGCAAGCAGGTGTGGGGTCCGGCTAGCACTTGCCCTCTGGGCCCTCTATCCTGCTTCTATTTATGGCAATCTCCATGGGATTCTAACTGATTACTTACATCTCTGTCTTTCCAGTTAAACATTAGCCAAGCAGAGCCTGGTGACAGTGACGATGGCAAATGAATGAACATGACTGGATACTGCATTGTCCTTCTACCTTGACTAGATGTATACAGCTCCTTTGGTTCAGATAATTGATAAAGTCGAACAATGGTTAATTATTAAAAGAATCCCAAAACATCAATTAACTTCCATCACTGTTGTATTGGGAAAACAGAGTCCATTGAACACTACTATTGATACTTAATCACCCATGGTCAGAATCTAGAACATTTCTTGCTATCTTTTCATTGTTCTTGTTGTGGGGCCTTCTTCATATTTAACCCTGAATGAGGCAGTTCTCTGCCATATATATGGTTCCTAATAGAAACATGTAAACTGACTAATTAGTAACATAAGCCACTAAATGTGGGTTTAAGTCAATCAGGTTCTATATCAATGAAAAAAAAAGAAAAAAGAAAAACATGGCTCCTGGGTGAGTGAATAATTCCTCCAGCTGGTGAACAAAGCCAGGAGCCTTGGGCTTCTTGTAAGCCGTCACATGGGGAAAGAAAACTGGAAAGTAGCTTGATGATGGCTAAAAATGAAAACTGTAGAAGTTAAGTCAAAGAAGGATTAAACAAAAGTTCTGAAATGATTCCTTCCCATTCTTACCAGATAAAAGTTGCTTTATAGGTTTGGAGTTAGAATCACTAGGTGCTTTCACATAATATGGGTAGATCCTTTCTATAGTCCTGTGCATTAAGGAAAAAAAAAAGAGGTAATTAAGTTTTAGTTTTTTTACCCATGTAAAATTAATTATTTATGTTGCTATTTTGACCTTGTATGAAACAAACAATGGTGAGAGTCTTTGTAAGTCATTACAATCAATGTGTGGTCATCATAATATATGGGTTTCCATTATAATCAAAATTCTCTGAAGCTGAAAAAATTAAATAGGTTCTATCCAACTACTCATGTAATCACTATACACAAGGTAGTTAATGGATTCAAATCTGATACAGAGATTTTTCCAAGTCTGTGACTGTGTCTGAAGCAGGAGGATGTCTTTCTTGCTAGCAGCCTATCATTCATATCAATAACTGTGAGAGCTCTTCTAATTTTAATTTTTAGAATTTCAAAAATAACTATAATCAAGTGGACTACATGAATTGATCTAGTGACAAGAGTGAGGTGTGAAGAGAGACCTGGTGACCTGGACCTTATCCTACCTCTGCAGGGATGAGCTGGGTGACTTGAATAGGTCATTCCATTGATTTAGACTTGGTTTTGCATCTGGGAAATGATGGGGGAGGATTTGATCACCTTCAAGGGTCTTTCAACTTTAATGGTTAATAAAAGATATTTTAGTCGGGGAATATGTCTGAGGGCTGCATTATGGTGGTTCTTATATTCAATGCATAAAAATGGAGGACAGAACCAGGCAATGGCTGGTGGACATCCGAAATACTTCATTTATCAGTTTTATACCAACAGTGCTTTTATTTCTTGCTAGTTTTTATATTAGAATCTAAACATCACTATTTGGATGTGTTTTAAATGGAGTACTTATATGGCAGGATAATATAGTAAGATATATTTTTTCCCTCAAATTTGTGTTTACCCCTTGTTTTCCCCTCACCCCCCACTCATTAGCCAGCCATTCAATGACCCTGGGGAAGGAATAATAGTATAAAAGGGATCTTGCATGGTCTTTCCCTGGCTTTTGGTGATTATGATAATATAACAGAAAGGCTTGCTACTCAGAGATGAGAGCGACTCCCTGGCTATGTAGACAGAGAGTGAGAGGGAAGAGAATAGAGTTGCTTTAATCTAGTAAAATGTGGCCTCCAAATGGAAATTCACTTGAGTTATCAGAGAATGAAGAAAGTTGCATTTCTTGCACATGGCGATTTGTAGATAGAAATTTTGTATCAGATACATAGACCTATTAAAGTTACATTAACAGGAACAATATACTTACACTGGCGTTTTTGAACTTTCTGTGTTGTTGCCAGCTATCATTTTAGCTATATTCTCTCGTGTAATATTGTTCAGAGGAAAAGAAAGTTTATCTGTTGCTATTTCTGCTTTTGCACCCAGACTCATGTTTCTGTGAAGAAAAAACAAACAACTCAATGTCAATGATTATTCAAAAGTCTGGAAGAGAAATTAAAAACTCATTTGACTCTTAATTTTGTTAATCTCACCAAGGTTTCATTGGGTCCAAAATTGCCAACCCCAACCCTTTCTGTCCATCTCACCTTTATGTCTAGCTTCTTAGACAACCAAGATAGTAAAACCCAGGAGGCCACAAAACCTTTAAAACTGATGGAAGGTGAGGAGGCAGAGTCTGCTGACCAAAAGAGAAACCATCCTGATGCTCTGATATGAATTTCCAAAATACTCTTTATATTAATCCAGTGAAGTTGGTCTCCATGGTGACTAATAAAACCCACATTTTGAAAAGAATGTTCAATCAGAAGTTGATTTTTAATATTGTTGCTATTTTTGGTAGCTCTCCAAACAAAAGGCTAGGAAGTAAAATTTTGGCAGTACAGAATTCCAAGTGAGAAATTTGGGACATTTAAAAGGAGAAAATAATATTAAAGGAGTTCTTTAAATTCTGAACTGCCCTTTTTGAAATATTTACTATTTCTTTGTGAATTCAGCTTAGAGACTATGAGGCTTTCTTCTGTACCTATCATGATTCTTTCTTAATTTCATACAAGAAGCTGGAATTGTGGACCCAAATGAACTTAAAGCTTGAATGACAAATAAGTTTGTATCGAGTCCTGAGTCACAAGGCTGTGATGAACAAAACTAAACTAATCAACTGGTATATTATGGTATGTTGAGGCCCCAGAACTGCTTTCCTAACATGTCAGGTTTTTGGATCTAAGAACTTTTTCTAAGACATGCTCTCTCTAAACAAGTGAAGTAGCAGCTGCGTGCTGGCCACTGGCTCAGGTTAGGTGAAATTTCCCCTTGCTCTCCCCTTCTGGGTCTGCCAAGCTGCTCTCACACCTCATGCTTGCAGAAAATATCTGCTAGGGCTCCCCCAGTGTTGGAGAGATGCAGGTGAGACGCTGGGGTTCCAGAGGCTGCACTTCCTTTATTAAGACCAAATTCCAATCTTTCAAGGAAATCTTACAATACACCCAGACTCTGTTTCATTTTGAGTCATCACCTTCTTTCTTTTCTCTCCACCTCTCACTCTTGTTCACATAACTCATTACAAGCCTCTCTTTAAAACTGAAATTAGTAGAAAAAAATGAAAAGTAAGAAGACCTTAGTTTTATTGATGATTACCAGGCAAACCATAATTTAATAAACAAAAATGTTAGCTGTAGCATCAAATGCATGTCCCCAATATGTAATGTAAACTATGAGCCACATTAATTTTTCTATACTATGCCCCCCACCCCCATCCTGAAATTAGATTGGGGAAAGGGGGAAATTATGCATGGAAATACAGTAACTACCTCTGAATACTCCATGAAAAAACAACAGAGAAGCTACTATTTGGGTCCATGAGTTCGTTTATCATTTTCTGCTTACTGGGAGGGCTGATGGTCCATAAAGAATTTGAGTTTCCTTCCAGTTCTGCTACTGTTATGTCTTCTTTTTCATAATTTTCCAGAAATTGCATAGCACCCTGTATGCACACAAATACACAAGCATGAATAGATCATATACATAATGATGTATAAAGAAAGTTATTACTTTTCCTTTTAACTGACTGTATAGAGAGGATTTTTTCCTATGAAAGAAAAATTTCTATAACAAATTATCTTGGAGTTCCATTGCACTGGCTTTGTTCCCCTACCCACAGGTATGGGCAGCTCGTAGTTACATCAGCAAAACCTAGTAGTGATGTTGCCTCACTAGTAGAGCTATGGAATCATTCCAATTAAACAGTAAGAAAAATCAGATGATTTAAATCAGTGTCTTTTCTTCTTCCCATTAAGAGGAAAGTTTATCAACTATTGGGAATTGCCCCTCTCATGGGAGAGTCAAATTTAATCCACCCAGGACGCCCTGGCCCTTTCCTTATAGCTGCTCATCCCTCATGATAAGTTTGGACAGTGGACATTATAGGTTGATAATTATACAAAAGAGAAAAGCCTCTATTTGCCTAATCACTTTCTTTAAATAAAAAGCATTATTTTGTAAAGCAAATTTTAATTATGAAAAAAATCATGTTATCATATTATTAAAAGTTGAAATGTAGAGAAAAGAATAACATTAGGCACAAGTCTGCCACCAGCACATTATTGCTGTTTTATGCAGTAGGGTATGCACACTTTATTTTTTTATCATTAAAGAAAGCCTATATTCTTTTTGATTTTTGGCTTATCTTGAGAAGTTTTCATGCCATGTATAGTCTTTGTAATGATGATTTTCTTTATTACAAAAGAAGTTGCTTGAAAAATATTCAGGCAACATAGTATATAAGTACAATACAATGTGGAAGCTGCCTTCTCCTACTATGACCACCCTAGGGAAGCCAGTGCTAATCAAATTCACTTCATACATCTGCCATGCTTTATTCAATCAGTTCTACATGTTGAACCCTCAAGTTGCTTCCAGTTTTTACTAATACAGAAAATGTTCTCAGAAGTAGGTGCTGACACAGGGCTTTTCCCATATTTTGATTACTTCTGTAAGACAGATTCCCAGAGTAGCTCCATCAGTCAGAGGTCAATGTCTACCACAGTTTAAAAATTAAGAAAAAAATTTTTTAGAGGATTGAGATCGGTTGAGCTTACATTAAAATGTTCTGAATTAAAACTGTTTATTAACCTTTACATTCAGTAGTATTGACAAGCTGTCTTAGATTATCAAAGTGGTCAGTGGCCAGGACTCTGTTGTGTACAACTTAATCTCTGAAAACCCTTCCCCCCACCACAGGCCATAGCACAGCAGTGACTAATAGACAGCTAGTCAGCTCAACTAGATAAAAATTATTCATAGAGATTTATTATATGCATTTACTTACAGTGTCCCTAGAAAAAGCTCCTGTAAATTTCTTAAACTTTAAGTGGTCCATAACTTTCAGCTGGCTTTGCTGGGCACTCATTGTAAAAATAGGCTGGAAAAACAAGATACACAGTATTGTCAATATTCCAGAGCTCTTTCTGCATCCTGGGTTAAAGGGAAACTATTTACATAGTATGTCACCCACTGAGAACCCAGTGGCAACTGGCCTCAGAGATCCCTTTTTTGAAGTGATTATTCCTGTGCTCAAAACCAGAACAGAACTATTTTTTCACTGTCTTCTGCACTTTATTTCAAACACCACATATTTGCTGAACAGTCAAAATTCAGATAGGAAATATGGATTGGTGAAACCTAATAAATCTCTTGTAGGTAGTTATCAGGAAAGAGTACTGTGCTAGGTAAGGTACTGACCGGTAGGTGAGACCTGGAGGAAATTCATAGAGATTACCTGGTAACCTCCCAGGGTAATTGTGACCGAGACATCCAGAGGTTGGTTGATCACCCCAGCGACAGATTTGATCAAAGACATGAAGAGAAGAGGAAACCAGACAATACAAATGAGCACAACGATGATCATGCCTCCCATGCCATACTTCACCACTTTCTTCTTCTTCTGTCCCCGGGGTTGAGGGTATCTCTGCAACAGAAAAGTTCACACAAGGCTCAGGCCACTGTCCCCACAGAAACAGGTGGGGAGGATGAGTTCTCTTTCCATGAGGTTGGGACTTGATTTAGTCCTGTTTCTGCTCTGGTTGCTCTGAAGTAGGGAGAGCAACCTTGTCTCAGTCTGGGAATGAAGTTAGGTAGTGATGTGAAGCTGTAATAAGCTCCCCACAGGTCCCCGTCATGGTACCACGAGGGATCAACAGGACCTGAGTGACTTTCTCCTTAAAATTGTTGTGTGGGTTTTGCTGGTGATGAACCTAAGGTCCAACAGATCAAATATGAGCACTCGGCTGAATAGAGCCTCTGGTTTTATGGGATCATGTGGGAGAAAGACATTTTACTTTAAATTCTTGAATATTCAAAATCTGTGACTTTCAACTCAGCCATCCTCACTTATTGGTAGTTGGGACAATATTTTTTACTTCATTTATCACACATGTTGTCAAAACAACGTTGGTTCAAGTCCTGCAATAAGGTCTGCAGGATCAGATCAGCCCTCTCTCTACTGCCATCATGATGCCACACGGGCCCTCGCTGGTGCCGTGCTGAAGAAGGTGGGGTTGGGGTTGGTGGTCGGTGTGTATGTCATACAAGCGACATGCTTTTCACAAGAGTAGTACACTTGGTAGGGCTGGAATCACTTCTATTTGTGTTACTAAGGATCCACTAAGCACTGTCTTACAGGCTATGGGCAAGGTGGAAGGAGCCAGCTGTGCTGTCTGGTATTAAAACTGCCCCAGCTCTGTATGCATATTCCTTGCTTAAATGTTACTTCTCAGTGACCTGTTTTTCTTCCAGGGTGACCCTGGAAGTTAGGCTACATAAGTAATGTGGCCATTGTCCGAACTCCTCAACCTGGCTGAGAGATTTATCCTGGGGCTCACACTATCTCAGGACAATGTACTCATTTCAGTAGGTTAAGGTAAGGACAAATCATCCACATTTTACCTGTAGGCATTGAGCTCTAGGTTACAAACTAAGAGAGAGGTCTGGAAGTTAGCAGATGACTTTAAAAAACACTGCTACAAGGGCTCTACAAGCTTTGACACTCAGTAGTTGCTGTCGCTGGCCTTGGAAAGCGGACATGGGGGCAGATCAGAGCCAGTATGGAGAGCATTATTCACTCAGTGCACAGAAGACAATGCTTCTGAATGACTCTGCTGTGAAGTTGCGTGATCATAGATTAAGGACTGTATTTTGATCTCTTTTCACTAGAATTTGATATTGTTGCTTAAAATTTTCAAGTTTGAAAGAAAAACTAGAATATTTGAAAGTTTAAAGTATTATATTCTTACACATACACACACACACACACACACACACACACACACAGAGATTTGCTTTTTCAGTATTTTCACTTTGAGGCAAGTTTAGACAATGGGCTACTCAACCCACTCCAACAACACTCTAGTACAGCAGTCCTCAACCTGTGGGTCGCGACCCCCTTGGGGGTTGAACAACTCTTTCACAGGGGTCGCCTAAGACCATCGGAAAACAAAAAGATATTTACATTACGATTCATAACAGTAGCAAAATTACAGTTATACAGTAGCAACAAAAATAATTTTATGGTTGGGGGTCACCACAACATGAAGAACTGTATTAAGGGGTCGCGGCATTAGGAAGGTTGAGAACCGCTGCTCTAGTAGTTTATAATGAAGGGTTTTGTGAGTTACAGGAGATTTAGCTATTCTCTGCCAATAACAGTTTGGGTCTCTTCTGCCTGAAGTGAGACCATGTGGTTCTTCTTCTGAAGGCCAGTGTCTTTCAGGCTCACTTCAAAAGCTCCCAGAACACCCTTTCCATTCTCCCCTTCCTCCTGCTCACCCCTCCATGCATTTCCCAGGGCAGAAGAGGGCCAAGACTTTTGACCTCTCTCTAATTATGAGGCTATCTTTCCCTTGACTTTCAAAGTGAAGTCACTTTCCTGTCCTATGCTGCTCCATCACCCCTTTCCTAGGCAAGTCAACTCTCAACCAGTTTGTAGTTCCCCTCATGCTACATTTCCAAACAGCTTCCTAAACTGTTTTAGGAACTGGCTTCATAGAAATCATTGTAAAAAATGATTAGGAATGAGTGGCCTGCATTGTATGTGTTCATGCTAACATTTTGCCTTTCAGGAAATTGTTCTTTCTTCACACATTGCGTTCATAAAACCCTAGGAACATATTACATTCAGTTTGGAATAATCCCAAGAAAAGTTACTTTTAAAAGGTTACTCTTCCGCTTCATACTAGACAAGTGATTGTGACTTTCAGTTTCTGATGGGACAGAGTAGACACTAGCACTAGATTCATTCAGACTACCTAATACCTCCCACATACCTAAATTTCTCAGGATATTTTACCATATGTGATTTAAATAGCCATAGGCTTAGCATAAGATAGAAGTATATATTTAGTACAGGTAATGCATTAAAATGAGGCTTTTTCTTTCTTAAAATAAGATGGGTAAGTGTCAGTCTTTTGTTGGGCACAAATGCCTCGTGTTCTAGGCCAGAACGACCCTGTCTTTCATAAGGAGGATGGCAATGGGTGTGACTGCCTCACTACAGTATTAAAGAGGTTGACACCTGTTGGCTCAAAGGCAGTAAAAAGCATATATGAGCTGATAAACAGAGAAGCCAAAGCTGTTCACATGAAGGGTGGCCTTGTATCTATGTGAGACAGTTATGTGAGTTCTGATTCAGAAACCTCCCTCTTAAGAGCCACCCCTCCTATTCATCCAGAGGAAGCAATATCTCACAGTTTACTTGGGTAGGCTCTGAGTCTTGGAATGCCATCATTCTTGCTCTCAAGAGATGAAATCATCTTTTTCATGGAGTAGACAGGCTATTGGGCATGAGTTTGTTCACTGACCGTCTCTCTTTCTCCAACTTTATGTAGGACGGCTGGTCCTCTTTGCCACTTCCAACTTGTTCATCCATGACTCTGAGTCTACACTTTCCAGGCCCCCATTTGGACCTTTCTCCTTTGGATCGATGTTAAGAAATTTTACTTTTCCTTTTTCTACTAGTCCTTTCCTTACCGTCTGAGAGAGGTTCAGATCCTCCTCATTCTGAAGTGATCCTCTTGACTTGCCTCTCTCTTGAATTGACTCCCTCTCTTGCCTTTCTCTTGCCTATGCTAGGTCTCTCCAAAATGGCAGTGATAGGAGTGATCCCAGGCCAGAATCTGCAGTAGCGCCCAGCCCAAAGTACAGATCCACAGTATTGTGAGCGGATAAAGTGGTTGTTAAAAAAAATTTAAATTTTGATGTAGTTTTTTTAGCAGCAACAGAGAACTGATATACCTGTTGCATGAATGGCTCCAGGACCTGGAGTAGACCTAGTACTTCCTAGCACAGAGGTTTCATGTTGTAAATTCTCCTCTGTGTGACTTTTTGTGTACGTGGGCATGTCTCAGGGGCCAACTCCTGAGGCAACCAATCTGCAATGGGGTAGTTTTGATTGTTAGAAAGCTCTTTATGTTTAGAACTTTTGCCTATTTGTCTTAATATTGTTTTCTTGAGTTTCACAAATTAATTTGAAATTTTAATCTATATTTCAATATTTCAAATAGTTAAAAACAGCTAGTATTTTTGCCTCCCCTCGTTTTTTTCTACTTTAGGCTGGACAATTCTTGGTTCTTCCTACTTTTCCTTATATACCAAGATTTCCAGACCCTTTGTCATCCTGATTTCTACCCTCAATGTCCCTTTGGTAGATTGGCTCTCATATTCTGTCACTATATCAACTCTTTTAATCCTTAAAAATCGGGACAAGCTAATGCGATTTTAAGTACACTGCCAGCCCCATCTCCTTCACTCCCACAAACCCCATGAACAAAGAGGCCACAGTGCAATGGGCTTACAACTACAAAGCTAAAAAACCTCAGAAAAAACTACAGAACACAAGAGAAATTATGTGGACTAGATGGGACTTTTCCAAAGAAGGTATTATCTAGATGAAAAAAAAAAAAGACATTTCACACCACCTCGTCTAATTTTGCTTGGGTATTTCTAGTACTATTATTCAACAGGCTCCTGTTTCATATATTAAATTTTTGAAAAAATCCAATAAACAATAGTAATTCTATCCATATTTAATGTCAATATTCAACCTAGCAGTACAAGCAAATATTTGCGCTTCAATTTCCTTTGCACGAAGTGGTTACATTGTCTGTCCTTCATCAAAGGGTGCATCAGGGAGTGAGCCCAAGCCCACTTTTTTCCACTGTACCACATTCTCCCTGCTCCTGAATGAGTCATTTAAGAATGATTGGGTCATACAGCAATATATCATTTCTTCTTTTAAAAATAAATACAATATACAGTTCCCCAAAGAAGAACACATCTGGGTGCTATTGCTCACTAAGGCAGTAGTGAGTTCAAAATTCTCAACTCTAGTGGGGTGGAAATCAATGGGACATTTATAGGTCCTACTAGTTTTTTCCCTGGCTCCATTTATTTGGTCACAAAATTTGCAGAAGTTCACATTAATCTTATAACCAGCCTATATCTAAGAGAAACAAACAGGGATAAGGTATTTTTATTGGCTTACTTTTTCTGACTCCCGCCAACACTTCAGGATGAATATGTGAGCATAGATGTCTTCTACACAGATCCAGCTGGAGAGGCTCAAGGTTGTATCTGTCCACACCCAGTCCATCACCGCCCTCAGCTCAGTCAAAAATGGAACAAGGCGGAACCTGGCAGGAATCACATCTTGTTAGAGAGACAGTTGTGGGATGCCCCCCAATACCCAGCCAACCCTTGAGGCTCATGTACTTCCTTATTGTTTCAGCCCTTATAACTTAGGAAAAATTCTCAAGGTGACCCTTACAGTAAAATTCAACTTGGAATACAACTGCTTTTCATTATAAGTCTAATACATGGATTGGTATTTTCTATTTTTCCAGTCTTTTTTTTTTTCTGATAGATGGTCTTAACAAACTGGGATTCCCTTTTTAAATAAGTGTGAAGGTGTCTTCTTCAATTTGTTTTATAAAGCCTTATAGTTTGCATTGTACAAATCTTTCATTTCTTTGGTTAAATTTATTTCTAAGTGTTTTATTGTTTTTGATGCTATTGTAAATGGGAAAGTTTTATTTCTCAGATGTTTCATTGTTAGCTTATAGAAACACAGCTGATTTCTGTATGTTGATTTTATATTCTGAAACTTTACTGAACTTGTTGATTAGTTTCAATAAATTTGGGTGAGTTTTTAGGATTTTCTATATATAAGATCATATCATCTGCAAATAAACACAATTTAACTTTTATTTTATTTTATTTTTTTTATTTTTTATTTTTTTCCTGAACAAAATTTTATTGGATGAATGTACTAAATTATTGGGGTGATAATGTCACAAGTAAATGTCTAACAACTATGCC